CAGGTATACAAGTCAGGAGACCGAATGGATCTAAATGCGGCATATCTTCGATAGCGGAGACTGCCTCCAGTTGTTATCCCTGGGTATTACACCCGAGGACTCCAAGAGTATAAAAGGGCCGCAGTCGGAACAGCTACAAGTGGACAGTATTGCAGTTTGTTATACTAACGCTTGTAGCGTCCGAGGAAAATGGGGCGAGAGTGCAGCGCGCTCCCAAGGATCCGAAATCTTCGTTATTACGAAATCCTGGTNTACTAGTTACCGGCAAGAAAGAGTAGACGGCAGATATGGCGATGGTGTGCTGATATTAGTTAAGCCATCCCTCAGCCAGTGGGAAACACAGCTGGTCTTAGCTCCCCCTAACATCCAAGCAGTAGGATGCTGTGTCGAAATGGGAAGAAAGCAGATAGGCATACTAGGCGTCTAACGTGCCCCTTTTGCGACTCCCTGGGAAGATACAGAGCTTTTGCGCGTGATGCAAGAAACCCTGGCTAGCTTTCAGAGGTCTCTCGTAATAGATGACTTCAACTTTCCGGCGATATGCGGTGTAAATGGATGCACGACTGCAGGTTCTCAAGTTGAACGGTTTCTGTAGTGGCTCCAGGAAATAGCTCTCTCACACATGTTGCAACAGCAGAAAGACACCGAGGGCAACAGCGTCTCTCACTGCTTTACCTAGTTGTCACAAGGTACAGCTTGGACATTACTAGTTTAAATATGGAAGAACCGTTGGGCAAACACTACCACGAAGTTATTCACTTTAGACTAATGGTGAACTATCGTAGACACAGACCTACCCTTATGCGGCTCTATGGGCGCATAAACGTCCCAGAATTGGTACAGGCTGCGAAAACCACCAACTGTTATCCGACGTCCCCGGAGTATACCGTGCAAGATAGACGGAAAGGAGTTAAAGGAGGGTTAACTAGCCTCACAGGCTCGCACCACTGAGGGAAGGAAGAACCAGACAGTGAAAAATGGTGGAAACCGGGGATAAAGATGGCGCTCAAAATTCGCCGACGATACTGGGGTCGCTTTAAGCTTTACGGCACTCAAAAAGCCTGGAGTGACTACAAGGGGGGGGGCGCAACAGATGTCAAGATTTCCAAAGCCGTGCCAAATATGACTTCGAGTTTAACGTAACCGCGAGGTGTCAAAAAGAACCCCAAAAGTTTGTGTGTGCGTTCAAGCCAACGCACGCACACGAGAGTGTCTATGAGCATTAGCTTTGCCCAATGGAGGCATGGCTACGTTTAACTGCGTCAAAGCGGAAACCCTACCTAGTTCTTAAAAGGCGTTTATCGGATCCCAACCGACTATGATAACTCGGGTTTAGTAGGATCAGCTAATACGTCAGACTCTGCCGATATTGCCATCTGTGAAACAGATGCGTATCGAGAACCTCAGACGATCAACAAGCACAAGTCAGCAGGTCCGAATGGAATCCACCCACCCATAGTGCAGCCGCTGACCCGTGTGCTAGCTAACTGTACTTTTAGGGAATCAGTGCTAACTGATACGCTACCCCAGGACTGATGCACAGCTACCGTAGTAGCACTGCACAAAGCTGGACCGAAAACCAAAGCAGAAAACTATAGACCCGTTAGCCTAACGTCAGTGTTGTGTAAGTGCCTGGATCGACTAATCAGAAGGCAGATTTGCCTAGATCTGACTAGCAATCGACTCCTGACACCAGCACAAAATGGCTTTGTGCAACGGAAATCATGTCTTACGAATCTGCTTGTGTTCCTAGATTAAGTCACTCAACGAATAAATGAGGAGAAAGTTGTAGAAGTCTGCTACTTAGACTCCTGTAAAGCATTTGACTCTGTCAGCCATCGGTTGTTGGACTTCAAGGTATAAAAGGCATAAAGGGGGGAGCCAGGGACTGGATTTTAGCGCTTTTGAGTAATCGCACCTTCCGGTTCAAGGTGGGTGACTGCATTTCTAACCATGAGATGGTTACTAGTAGGGTTACTCAGGGCTCAGTGCTAGGCCCTCTACTGTTTCTCATATTCATCAACGATCTGGCACAGGATCTTTAAAATCCGTGTTTCATGTTTGCTGATGATGTCAAAATGACAGGGTTAGACTTACAAAGGGACCTAGAGGCAGTTCATCGATGGTCGGTCAAGTGGGACTTACCTTTGAATCTAAGCAAGTGCCGGTTCCTAGCAACGAGGGATGGGACACACTCGTTTATTGGGGCTCCCATGCAGCAGGACCCGCAGATCAAAGATTCAGGGGTTCGTATGACCCAAGAGTTTTAAACCTTCAATTCACTGTTCCAAGGCTGCTAATCAAGCTAGGGAGCAGCTGCTCAGGTTGTGCCACAGTGACATGCAGACGTCCTGATGTTTTCATCCCACTGCATAAGTCAATTGTGCACAGGCATGGACGACGTATTACACGAGGGATGTAACGTGCTTAGAGCGAGTGCAACGCCTAGCCACCCGGATGGTGACTGGGCAAAAGGGGAAGAGCTATGAGCAGCGGTTACGAGATCTNGGATGTAACGTGCTTAGAGCGAGTGCAACGCCTAGCCACCCGAATGGTGACTGGGCAAAAGGGGAAAAGCTATGAGCAATGACTAAGATATCTTGATCTCTTTTCGCTTGAACGTAGATGAGTGAGCGGAGATCTGATAGAGACTTTAAAAATTGCAAGAGGTCTATCAGAACTCAACCTAGATGACTTGTTTACGATTTATCGTGCTCAAAATACGAGAGGTCACGGCTATAAACTTCAACAGAAACAGGCCGGGTTGGACGTACGGGCCAACTTCTCCGCACACAGAGTCATACGTATATGGAACAGGCTACCAACGGAAGTGATCAACTGCGCAAATTTTAACGCCCTGAAGATAACCCTGGCCGTATGTTGGCCAGTAACGTTCACCGAAGTTAATACGTAGAGTGAGAATACCAAGAATAAATTCCATTTTAGCCGGCATTTTCTGAAATAGACGAAACTTGGGCTTGAACGTTGGAATTTTTCTCAAACTCACTGTCCTGTCACATGTGATCTGTGTAAACGAACGCATATGTACTTGAGATCTCTAACCAATGAGGCCAGTAGATATCCTTGCTTGTTTTCCTCCCATTCAGCATACCCCCAAGGAGTCAACGTTGTGGCAACGGGGCTAAATTGAGAATACCAAAAACACCCAATCATTTGTACGCAATGTTGAAAGCTACTCCCATCCGCCGACAACACAACGAACTGGACGCTCGATTGGCAAGAGCCATATTTGTCCTGTGAAAACTGAACTGAACTGACCTGACTAAATTCTGCGGTACGTTCGCGCGCGGTTTGAAATTTTGAAGTGCTCTCGTTGAAAATCCTTTTGGTACTACTTACGTGGAATATTTTATTATATTTCACATTTTACTCATAGGAAATTTGTCCAAGTGCGTGTTTAGTATATTTACTGCGACCTCTAAAAGGCCGCATTACATATACTGTGTTAGTTTTTAGTATTTGTATCTACATTTTTGTATAGCGTTTTTTTGAAGTTTTACAGGTGCTGTAACCCGTTTTTTTGTTACGTTTTTATCGTTCGTTTTGGACATACCACGAGCAGCGTCTCCATGTCTCATTGTTAGTTTTGGGAAGCGCGTCGTGAAAGGTATAGAATGCGATGTGTGCCACAAGTGGACGCATGAAAAATGCTCTGGTTTAAAACCAGAACATTACGCATTCCATTGTCAAAGCACAGGGTTACAATGGGTTTATCCTCATTGCTTTCGAGCAGCCGAATGTGCGCTGGTTATGGCACAATCAGAGGTAGTCTCAGCAGAGCGCACACCAGTAGCAGTGCAGAGTGATGCACCTGTCACTCGAGACAAGGCAAAGACGTACGCCGAAGCTTCAATCGCGAAGAAAGTCAAAACGCATGTAGATCCTCCGAGTTTGATTAGGGTGTTGGTCTGAAAACGCAAAACCCAGAACCTAAAGCCAGAATGATTCATCAGCCGAAGCATTGTGGAGTAGGGAAAAAGTCCCAGGTTGTTAAATCAGGAATAGAAAGGGAAGGAGTACAGAACCACCGCGCAGGTACATTTAAATCCCTGGAAGTGCAGTTGCGCGAAGTCCAGGCGAACCTAGAGTGCTTGGAAAGAAAGGCAAATGTAGCGGGATTTAGACAAAAGACGGTCTTGATCTTGAACGGTGAAGAACCGTTCAAAGAGAATCTAAGGCTCGTCGAGAAATGGACTGGCGAAGAGTTCAGGATGTCCTACGGGCAGTTGGTATGCCACCCGTTAGCACAAGGAGGATACGTAGGGTGGGCATCTGGAAGAACCCGGAACCAGCGGGATTTCGCAGGGCCAGACCCTCACTTGTTGAGTTTGTGGAACCAACTCGTAGAGATAAATTGCTTACAAACTCCCAGAGAATTCTGGATGCTACCTGTGGGAGGTATAAAGTAGCGCCTGACATCCCCAGGATTCCGAACACAAGGCACCCGAACGGCAGCGTAATGCCAGTTGAGCGAAAGCCAATGAACCCCAAATTAAGAATCAAGGTCCATCACATATAGGGGTGGGTAGACTATAGAATATATATATATATATAGAATACTGTGTCCAAGCCTCTGCACAAAAAAGACGCCACCTGCCTGCAGAAAATGCAGAGACTAGCTACAAGAATGGTAGATGGACAGAGGGATAAATCATACCAGGAAAGGTTAAGGGACCTTGATCTATTTTCGCTAGAAAGAAGGCAAATTAGAGGAGACCTCATTGAAGCGTTCAAAATTAGGAGGGGTTTCTCTGGAATTCTTCCTAATGAACTTTTCACTGATGCCCCGTATGCTGGTATCAGAGGCCACGAGCACGAACTGATGAAGAAAAGGAGTAGATTAGATGTGAGGTCCAACTACTTCAGAAATAGAATAGTAATTAGGTGTAATGGACTACCTGAACAACTAGTCAACCTGCCTAATCTCCACACCTTCACACTGGCTTTGGATAAGAGATGGTTAGAACTGTTTCCGAACGAAGAGTACTGAACAGGATGCGACTGTTAGGTTCATAAATTTTTTTGTATGCAATATGAAACGCATTCACATGACACGGCGAGAAGTAAGATTTCTCTTTTTTTCTGTTTGCAGGTAGGCGAAGAAAACAATCAATTGATGAGGTAGATGCACACTCGTGAGCACACCACCGAAGGGATTTTGGACGCTTGATTGGCGTGTGGCCCCTATCAGTCCTGTGCAACCCAATCTGACCTGACCTTACGGTACGTCCGCGCGTGGTTTGAATTTTCGAATTGCTCTCGTTATAAAAAGATTTGTGGTTGAAAACTAGTGAAATATCTATAGATATTTCACTCAATACACAAAGTGTTGAACCCTTAGGAGGTTCACAAAGTTGTATATGAGTCGACTTTAGTTTTCAATAGTCGTGTTCCCAAAGCGTTTTTAGCTATTTCACCCGTTTATCCGTTTATCCCGACCGTGTTTTTGAAACTTTCGCACATTTATCAATGATTACCTCACAGAGTGAAAGTCATTGTGGTGGCACTGGTTGCAGTCTGTATGTAGCGGACAGCATTCAGTGCAATAGGTGCAGAAAGTGGTACCATCAAAAGTGCTCACTTTAGGCAAAGAGACAGAGTACCTCATACACCTTCCGAACAAGAATCTAAAGTGGGTATGTGACCGGTGCGAGACATTCGCGCTCGAGTGCTCTCGCCTGGTACATGGTATGATTGCTGCTGAGGGGTTAACCCCTAAAATACAGCTAAAGAGCACAAATGCATCGTAAAAGAACAAGGATAAACAAAGCATTAGTGTTAAACCGACAGAGTCGGTAGAAAGTAGGTTGAAGCCAAAAAGAGGACAGACTGCTAAAAAGGAAGATACAGCATCTGGAGAGATTGCAGCCCTAATTTCGCGAATGGAAGTTCTCGAAAGAGAACTATCCATGTTAAAAAATCCCAGTCAAATGATGTTAGGTAGCACGCGAAACCTGGTCTTCCATCAGTTGAGGTAAACTATATATTCGCGAAAGTAGGGCGATAAAGGAATCTGAAAGGCGCAGCGTCCACGAAATATTCAGGATAATTGGGATGCCAAAAAGCATTCCAATTGTCAAGTGCCACCGCATTGGAGTATGAAAAGGCGTTAAAGCAGTTGGACCAAGGCCTCTGTTGGTAACCTTTCCCAGTATGTACCTGAGAGACGCCGTGCTATGAAGTGCCGTGAAGATAGACATCGTCACCGGTTTCGGTGCCATTGGTCGTGCCCGCCACTGGGCCGACTATACAACTACAAAGGGTAGATAGAGCTCCGCTAGGTAGCTTTACGCCCAAAATTGCAAAATTGCCAGGGGTGGGCGCCACTATTATCAATGAGCCAAAGAAGGGCTGTCGGTGGTCAAAAGAAACGAAACCCGTTAAAGCTAGGATAAATGATGCGCAGAAACGCCTTCATTTGAAAGAAAAGAGCAATCCCACGTGCGAGGCTCAAATAAGAAATGCTTAAATGAAATTCGCTCCGATTAT